ATAACCAACTCCTGCCAGGTCAAAGCAGATTTGATGGATAGGTTCGTGCTATATAAAATCCATATTGGACATCTTGACATAGGAAATAAATTAGTGCTCATTTCAGTCTGATGCTCTCAAACATTCTAAAAGTTAATACTGCAAATAGGCTCTAATGAAAAAAATGTAAATCCCTCCGTGAATTTAATGGTGGAGTGCAGAAGAAGAATCTTTAAATTAGTGGATTTCCTCTGGCTTCATTAGAATCATTTCCAATTTAGCTTATGCTGATGAATCCATGTGCAATTGCTATGAAACTCTAGCACATTACTGCAGATTCTGAAGCTAGGGAGATATTTTAAAGTGCCTTCAATTAACCAAAAAACCTGACCTGTCCTCCCTTGTGAGCATTTACAAAGTCTTTTCACTGCATCTTGACCTAATTAATTTTAGCAGTTTTTTTTAAAAAAAACTACAGATGCTTTTTCTGTTGTGAGTTTGCTTCTTTCTCATGCCTTCTACAGTGTAAAAAATATAGATACTGTATACATTATTTTTGTTTGTTTCATATGTTACGATTGTCAACTAAATGTACATTTGAAAGATCTGATTACATTTTGTGTACTTATGCTAGCCAGTTCTCTAGATATCCTTAACAGAATTCCTATTTCTGCAAGCTATGATGCTCTGCATATTAAAGAATATTCATCAAAACTTCTTCAACCTGGACACTTAGAAAATTTAACTAATTGTAGATAATATATATATATTTTTAAAAAAGTTATGTATGAGGATAATTGTTCTTAAGTTAAGCAACTTAACTGCTATTCATTTCCCCATAGGATGATTTAGAGGTAGTTTTTACTTTAAAAAAGAACTTGCTGTTTTACACCGCATGAGTGAAAATTCATGTAGTAATTGTTTTTGGACAATTTTGTTCCAAACAATAGACTTATACTGTGGGTGTGTTTGGCGGGAGAGAAGGCCAAAATAAAATCCACCACACACAATGGATCATAAGTCAGTGGGAATCATATCCACTTATGTTAGAATTGTTCTTGGCCTTAAACCATTTCCCATTACGCCACTGCATAAAAAGATTGTAGGCATTCAAACTTTTAAATAAAGCAATCTTTTATTTCTCTCACTCTTCTATGCAAACTTTGAATGATATAGTTAACACAGTCATTTCTAAAAGTATCTTCGGTATTATTTTTGAAGAGAACATTTAGCAGATTTAAATTTCATTGGTTGGACCTTGTTTTTATCTTATTTTAAAAGAAAATAATCACTTTGATCCAGACTGCAGACTTTCAGTTTTGCTCTTAAATAGTTCTGTAAATGTTCTTTTTAAATAATTTGATGCTTTCTTCACCTTTTCCAGGCCATACTCCATATGTGGACCTAATTCCCAAAGAAAGTGAAGTTGTTGTTAAAAACATGTTGCTCTAATCATAAGCCTTATAGCAACCCTAACCAGCATCCTAGCTTGTTAGAGAAAGGGTGTTATCTGTTTACACAACTATGGAGATTCTCTGTCATCCAGGCCATGATTGTCTCAAAGGTGCTTTCTCAAAAGGCAACTCGACTTCCTTTGTTTTTCCTTGAAGATGTTTCGCTTCTCATCTAAGAAGCTTCATTGGTTGGGACAGGATAGTGGGGGGCGGGGGGGATGGAAGGATCATCTTCCAATCCCCCTTCCCCCCCCATCATCCTTCCATTGCTCCCACCCACCATCCTGCCAGAACTGATGAAACATCTTGGATGAGAAGCGAAACATCTTCAAGGGAAAACAAAGAAAGCACCTTTGGGATATCTCTTTACACCCACAACTCTAGGGTTACTTGCAAATATGATGTATTTCAAATTTGTTCCTTGCACTTTCAGCTGTGTCTTTTGACTCTGCAGTTGTGGTACAGTTGGAAGAGCTCATAAGGAAATATTGCTCACCAATATTACTTAGTTGAGGTAGTTGGGTTCTCTGCCCCCCCCCCCCCAATTTAATCCAAACTAGAATATCATTCATGAGGACAAAGTAACCCAACAATATTTTCCGTACAGTTACAAAAGAAAGTCAATATTGTGCAATTTTTGGGAAGTAATATTGTCATGTTTCTTTTTCAAATCCAGATCAGTAATATGGTAGATGATGAGCTGACATCAGGGGTGAAATCCAGCAGGTTCTGACAGGTTCTGGAGAACCGTTAGTGGAAATTTTGAGCAGTTTGGAGAACTGGCAAATGCCACCTCTGGCTGGCCCCAGAGTGGGGTGGGAATGGAGATTTTGCAATATCCTTCCCCTGCCACGCCCACCAAGCCACACCACGCCCACCAAGCCACGCCCACAGAACCAGTAGTAAAAAAAAATTGGACTTCATCACTGTCTGACATGTTTATTGAGTGAACAACTCTTGGGTTCTCCTCACCTTGTATGTTAATATGTATCCTTTCATGGTTCAATTTGGAGCTAATAAGGGAAGGATATAATCTTTATCAGATTAAATTTACTCAGCAATTATAAAATATGCTAAAATATAGTTTGCTAGTTTTTGGTTTTCAGTATGGAAGCACCACCATTATTTTAACATGTGGTATGAATGTGAGGCAATCACCTTAGGTGAGTATGTGCTATGGTCTCATATATTTTTTTTAATCTGTTGTTTATATATCTGTGGCTTTTATCCATTTGTTTATTTGCACCCCGAGTCACTGGTGGTGAGTTGGACAGCTATACCACTTCAATAAATAAATAAATATTGTAGTTTACTGGTTTAAGTGCTGGACTGCAGTCCACGTCTTAGCCAAAGAGGTTTATTAGGCAATTTAGGGTCGTTCACACTCATTCACCTACCTGAACTCATTTCACAGGGTGGTTGTTATGGGGGAAACGGGGAAGAATGACCACTATATATATTGCAGTAAGCTCCTGAAGAAAAACAACAATAAATGTAACAAATAATGTTTCATATGCAACTACATGATTGTGTTTTGCTAAACAAGTTTGGGTTACAGTATATTTTGTGAATCCAGCTAGAGCGTTCATTGTGTTGTGGAGAGGATTAAATAAAACCACTCCAAAATAGTATGACATTTGGTGTCCTTGCTGCTCTCCGAACTTTGTGGTTTTCTTGCAGACATTTCATTACCAAACTAGATAACATCATCAGTGTAAACTGATGACCCTTTCTCCTCAAGGGTTAGCTATGTGTGCTTTAGCTTTCAGGATGCTTCCTCGTTTAACATCAGTCCATATCCTTTATCTATTAGATTTGTATGCTGCTACAAACTGCTTTCAACAGTTCACACAATGTGTACCTGGAGTTCTTTGTATGTATACTTGCTTCTGAAGTTGCTACATTTGGCAGAAGGGGTTTCCCACAATGAACACTGACTTTATTTGGGGATCCCTCTACCCTGATTGCTCCTAATATGGTTCCTAAAGAAAAATGAATGTTTATCCTTTCCCTTCCCCCCTAAAAAAGTCTGTGCTAAGAATGTTTATAATTCTCTCAAAGGAATTAACTTGTTGGATTTAGAATGAATTTCCATTTGATCTTGATTTTCCATCTGAATGGAAAAAGTCAAGCCCAGACCCTTACAGAGAAGCTACAAATATCTTCTAAACCTGGATATATTTATATCCTCTTGAGGTTCAATCGCCACAACATATCCCTGCATTGGATTTAAGCTTTAAGCTGCACCAAATATTGAGAAATGTAGAATGGAACACCTGCTGCTATAAGTAGAAATTTGGGATATAAATTGAATACATAAATAAAAATAAATAAATTATTCATGTCAGAAAAAGCTGAAAGAAAAAGAAAAGCAGGGAAAAAAGAAGAATCATAGGAAGACACAGAGGGTGGTCTCTTATGAGTGAATACCTTTGGGCCAACCACAGTCTTTAGTTAATTATTTATGTTTTCTTCTAGATTATTCAGAAATTAATCCTTGAAAGACAACTTGTCTCTCCTGTCTATTGGTAATAAGATAAAGACTGCAAACCAAAGCAAAATATTGAGATTTTTTTTTAAAGCTGATTTAGGATCCTCACTTCTATTTCCTCGTGTTTCCCTAGCAGGGTTGTGAAAGAGCTTTAGATTTGACTCCCAGAAATTGTCTGGGAGATTGAATACAGCATCTTTGGATGCTCCTTTAAGAAGCCATGCCTTTTTCCAGGATTTCATGGCTGCTTGGGCCTACTGTCATTCTATGGAGGAGCCATACAATCTTGGAAACAGATGAGTCAGAGCATTATTCAAACAGTAATATTCAAAATGCATGATGATGTAACCACACACACACACACACATACATACATGTACAACAAGTCAGTACAGGTGAACTTAGAAGTTAAGGCAAACATACTATTTGAATGAGTCCTGCTGTGCTTAGGTGAGGATAACATAACATCTTCATTTGAAATAGGTTTGTCCTTGTCTTAGACCAAGGGTGAGGAACGATGGCCCCTTTATGACTTGTGGACTTCAACTCCCAGAATTCCTGAGTCAGCCAGCCATGCTGGCTCAGGAATTCTTGGAGTTGAAGTCTACAAATCATAAAGGGGCCATCGTTCCTCACCCCTGGTCTAAGACTAATAAAGGTATCTGAATTAAATCTGTGGAAGAGAAGATAGGAAGTTCCTTGACAGATCATGGTAAATACAAATGCTTGATAGAGAAGGATCTTCATGGCCTTGTGCAAGAAAAAGGAATATCAGGAAGTATATCTATAAAACATAAAAAATATGCCTTGAAGTGTACCAAGCAGAATAGGGAATAGGAATAGAATCAGACCTTACAAAACTCCTTGACCAACAAAATTGCTTTGTTCCAAGGTTTGATGGAATAAAATCTATGTTGTTGAAAGAGATTTGAGGAAGAACCTCTCTAGGTTCTTGCTTTGAAGCTTTATGGAACATCTTTATTTTACTTTACAATTCACCATATACTATATATCTTTTAAAATATACCTTATCCACACCATCTTTACATTTAATATATTACTTGCTTTCTTTCCAGTTACCATAATGTCCACGGATGGGGGTTTTGCAGGAGGAAACAGTGATGCACAGCAGTGTCTTCAATCTTTCTGGCCTCGAGTCATGGATGAGATTCGAAACCTAACAGTGGTAAGATTTTTTTCGTTACCATCCCACAGAGAAATTGTTTATAGACCTCTTGCTAGTTATGTCCATGAGCATTTAGTGATTTTTCATGTTGTGCTTTTGAAGGAGAGAAAGTTCAGACTTTTTACAATGTTAATGACTCTAAAATTTTTAAAAAAACCTTATCTCCTCCTTGAGTTGCTAGTTACTAGAGCAACTAGAGTGGGAAAATCACCCTTTTCTGATTTTGCAACAAAATGTTTATCAGCTACCTCTTTCTATATAAAATATATTCTCTAGATACTCCTAAGAAGGACTAGTAGATGTATTTCAATCAAAAAGTAATTGAACGCCATAAAAATCTTCCTGTCAGTGCTGGCATCTTCATCTGCCATTTTTCATTTAGTTCTTCACTGAAACAGTGTCATTAAAATATGGTATCATCCACATGCTTAGAAATATTAAAAATACTTTGCTCTTACCTTCAAGTCAGAAGAAGTTCCATAGTTCCATGTTGAGCGGTGTACTGTTTCAGCCATGGACAAGCATCCATTTCTATATATGGCTTTCTCTGGTTAAACATAATCCATTAAGTGGTCTCCACTACAGAGCCATTTGGTCTTGAAAACCTGTCATTGCATCTTTTAGGAACGACTTCAGCGATATACTATTAAAACTCTCGTGTTTGTAATCTCTAACTAGGTGAAACAATGCATCACAAAATAAAATTTTTTACCTCAAATTTGTTACCTCAAATTTATCTATTTGTATTCCACCTTTACTATTTCTGCAAGTAACTCAAGGCAATGAAACACACATTTCACCTCCTATTTTCTCCACAACAACAATCCTGTGAGCTGAGTTAATCTGAGAGAGAGTGACTGGCCTAAGGACACCCAGCTGGCTAAGGCAGGACTTGAACTCTGGGTTTTCAGCCTGGTGCCTTAACCACTAAACCAGACTGGCTCTCTATATAACAAGGATAATGGGGCCATTGGCATTGAGAATAGCAGACTGACCAGCACAGTTTTCCAGCACGCTGCTCCTCCAATCCATTGATTGGGAAGCTCTCATCACGTTGCTGGGGAACTGAGTGCAGAATTCTCCTTGGCTGACCACGCCCCCTCTGTGTCACTCCCGTCAGTCTTTCTCACTCAGTGACTGAGGGAACTCGTGTTTGGCATAGCTCTTTCAAAGATATTTCAAACTCCTTGACTGCTTCCTTATCGAATTAATTTTTATTTTAGTTTGTTATTTTTCACCCTTTCTGTGCGCTTGGAGCTGCTTCGTGGGATTGGTGAGGCTGCTGGGGGAGCGATAACGCGCCTGGGGCTCCAGGCCGTTTCGCTCCTTCCCTCTATCTACCAGCAAGGCAGCTTTCCGGATTCCGACCCGGCTGGGCGGATCCGTGAACACCGTTAGCCGCCGGCGCTTCGTTGGATTCCTGGCGAGCTGGGATTCCACGAGCGCCTCAGCTCCCAGATTTTTGGGCGGCTCCGGAGCGTCTGTCCAGGCTTCCGACAGGCTCCGACGTCCAGGCACTCTCCGAGCCGTTACCAGCATCTTGTCAGCGATCGGAGCGGCCGGCCGCCATTTTGAATTGCCGCCGTCCTTCGCGCCGGGCGTTTACCGCCGCTTTCTTCAATTTAAAATTGGCGCCCTTTAGAAGCAAGTCCGCGGAGCCGAAGCCCACGGCAGCCTTGTCAATCGGCACCCAGCTAGTAAGAGACCAGGAAGTCTTTAAATTGATTACCTTCGCTGCGGTCGCCATTTTGGAGGACGGTGTTTTCGCGGCCGCCATTTTGAATGTGAGTCAGTAACGGCGCATTGGGGAGAGACTATTCTGGCACTGACCCAAGGCCAGATTAGTAAGACCTGGAGTTTGTCTAGCTGCGGGACTTGAAGACTTTTCCACCCGAGGGGGAGTATTTAATTACTGGCCCGGGGGTCCCTTATACGACTGCCTATCGCTAGCTAAATTACTATCGCTGCTTGGAGGTTCTCCTGCACATAGTATTCTAATGGCGGATTTGGAGCTGTCATCCGACGGGGATCAGGATGCTGCTCTGCCTACTGAGGCAAACCAACGCAAAGGAGGGAAGAAACGCTCCAAAACCAAGCATATTGCCTCTTCCAAATCCTCTCAGACCGCTCAACTAGCAAGCCGGCATAAATCCGAGTTACAGCGTCACAAGGCGCTTGAAAAACAGTTTGCCAAAGCAAAAAAGGCAAGGGACCAGAACACCTGTCCCATGATCTCTGGAGAGTCCGAGGTTTACCAAGTCCATTCCAGTGCTTCTTCAGTTTGCTCGGAGGCCTTTGCAGCTACTGACCATCGCCCATCTACTTCTTCCAATCCAGAGGCGGTGCGTGGAGTTTCTATGTCTTTACCTAACGTATCCTTAGTTCAAGCGGCCCAACCAGAGCATTCAAGATCGGATCCATCGCCCACATTCACGCCTACGGCTGCTGGGCTGAGAGCGGAGGGACACACTGGCCAAGTAGATTTGCAATCAGTGTTGTCCGATGCATTGGCCAAGATCTTGGCGGCCGGATTACAACAGAGCGTGGGCACTCTACAACCTACGCCCAGCTCATCTAAACCTCTGCCTCAAATTCCTCCTCAACATAAAACAAAAGACTTATCTCAGGTAGAATGTGTCTCCTCGGGGTCATCTGACCAGGAGGCGGATTGTGAGGAGGACTCGGAATTCTCCGAGGACGAAGGCCTGCCTCCAGAGAAGCCATCATTTACCGGACTATTTCGTCCTTCAGTTTTTAAATCGCTCCTGCACAAAGCCAAGGTGACTACTCAATTTGGTTTATTGACAGCCCCTCCATCTGGCTCAGCTGTTCCATCCTCAGCCACGCATGACGCTTTGTTTCAGGTGGCTAAGCAGGAGAAGGACGCTATTCCGTGTCCACCGCTTTTTGCGGATGTTATCCAGAGTGCCTTCGGCCAACCAGGCTCCTTAACCGCTCCTAGTAACCTGGACAAACGGCTTTACTGCGCGGCGGCGGAGTTGGACGATATCCTGGCCTTACCAACAGTAGACAAGCCAGTGGCCAACCTTTCTTCGTCCTCAATAGTATCTGCAGATGCTATGGACGGTTTGAAAGCCGATGACAGAAAGACCGAAATGGGATTTCGCAAGGCCCATCAGGCGGCTACTTGGGCAATAAAAGCTGCAACGGCAACATCTTTTTTTAATCGAGCAACGTTAATTTGGCTCAAACAATTGCAAGCGCGTCTCCCCACCGCAGACAAACGCGTACACCAGGATATTAACAAGATAGTGGCCGCTACAGAATATTCGGCAGACGCCTCATTAAACGCCGCAAAATTTGCAGCCCGCGCTATGGCTTCTACTGTTACTAACAGACGTATGTTTTGGCTTCGCAATTGGAAAGCCGACTCGAAGGCGAAGTGGAAGCTAGCTTCATCCACCTTCAAGGCTCCGGCCTTATTTGGGGCTGCCTTAGACCCACTCTTGGTGGAAGATAAAGAAAAACGTAAAGTTCTTCCTTCTTCCTTTCGCAGACCGGAACGCAAGTACACACCGTACAGTAATCGACAAACATTTCGGACCTATTCGGGTCCCAGTGGGCCCTATACCCAACGACCATTTAGCCAAGGCGGAGACCGTTTTCAGGATCGGCAGTCCTTTCGGGACCGACAACGCTCACAACCTTCCAAGCGTCCTTTCAGAGGTGGCGGATCCCGTTCCAACAAACGAGGCAAATGACTCACGCCATCCAGATGCCATTGGTGGTCGCCTCCAGCTGTTTCATCATCAGTGGCAAATGTCAACGACCGAGGACTGGATCCGTCACACCATTCAATACGGTCTTTGCCTAGAGTTCGTTGGGGTCCCTCCCAGCCGATTTCGTCGCTGCCCAATATCGCCAACTTTACACCAAAGAGAGTTAATGGAGGCGGAGATTACTCATCTCTTAAACATCAAAGCCATAGAACCAGTGCCCGAGACTCAGAGGGAGAAAGGATTCTATTCCATCTTGTTCCTGGTCCCCAAATCCTCGGGGGGGCACAGAGGTGTTTTGAACCTAAAGCACTTGAACAAATACATCTTGTATCGCAGGTTCAAGATGCAGTCCCTCTCGTCGATTCTGGCATGCATCCGGCCAAACGATCTTCTGCAGTCAGTGGATTTGAGGGAGGCCTATTTACACGTCCCGATCCACCGGACGCATCGCAAGTACCTGCGATTCGAATACAACTCTCACCACTATCAATACTGCGCGATGCCCTTTGGTCTCTCCTCCGCCCCCAGAACCTTTACGAAACTTGTCTCCGTGGTGGTCGCATCCCTGAGAGCTCTACCAATTCGTCTTCTGTGTTACCTGGACGACATCCTTGTCCTATCATCGTCTCCGCATCAAGCGTCGAGCGACATAGAGACAGTACTCAGAGTCTTTCAAAGCCATGGATTCACGATAAATCACAAGAAAAGTCATCTGGTTCCGACGACAAGGATTCTTCATCTGGGAGCGGTGATAGATACTACCAAGGGCAAGGTCTTCCTATCGCCGGATCGCGTCACAGACATCAAGTCATCAATTACTCAAATTTCGACCAACCGAACTGTTCCAATTCGACGCCTGTCTCAAGTCTTAGGGAAAATGGTGTCCTGCATCAATATCGTTCCCTGGGCACGCAGACATACGAGACCGTTGCAATGGTTTCTGCTTCCATTCCAGAAGACCAATCGCAGCACTTCCCCGACATTAGTTCGGCTTCCTCCTCAACTTCGGTCGTCGCTGCTGTGGTGGATGTCCCCCGCCCTTCTCCGGGGCTGTGTCTTCCTGGAAGTCGACAGGCTGGTGTTAACATCAGATGCCAGTCTGGTAGGCTGGGGGGCTCATCTACTGAATCAAGTAGTCCAAGGGCGTTGGTCTCAGTCGGAGAAGGCGAACAGCATCAATTGGCTGGAGTTGAGAGCTGTTCGCCTTGCTCTCCGGCATTTCCAACCATTATTGGAGGGCCGTCATGTGTTGATCCGGAC